ACAGGTCCATCCACTTGTGACTCCACACCTGGGGGGAACCACCGGCCTGGCTGTCACCCCGGACAACGCAGGCGCCACAAACTGTCCTGCTGATCACCAACATAGGGGGTGGCTGCGGAGGCAGACAAAGGCCCCTGGGGCCAGCCAGGCACGTTAAGGGAAAGCTAGCCCCGTGCCGGAAAGGCAGCTCGGGCTCCTTCATCAAACTGACCAGCAGCTGCAGCGAGGCCAGGACTCAAACTCCCCAGCTCGGGGAACCACATGACCCACAGACAGAAACGTGACCTCCTCTGCCGCTGGGCAGCTCCCACAGCAGCAAAGCGCAGGCCAAGGCAGCTGAGCCCCGCTCTGGATCCTGGAGGGTGCGCGCGACTGGCCAGGGGGAAGCTGGCCCTTTGCTGTGGCAACGTACGATGTATCTGTGCCCTCGCTAGGAAGGGTTTGACTCGGTGCCTCCAGCTTTTGTTCTCACTGGGGTCCCTGCTCTCTTGGGATACGGGGAACCTGCTCCAGGTGGATTTGCCCCCCCCAGCTCCTAAGGGAGCCTGTCCCTGCAGGAGTTCAGTGTTGAGCAAGCCCCACGAGGAGCTGTTCTCGGGGCATGTGGGGAGGCGAAGGGAGGGACGGTGTCGATCTACCGGGGCTATTTCTACCCAGCGTGCTGGGCCTGGCCGCTGCCCTCTCACCTCGAATCGAGCCCAGTCCCAGGACGTGTTCCAGTGCGTCGGCCTCTGCAGGTGCCCAAACTGAATCTCATACGTTGCATTCATGCTCCGAACCCGCAAGGGGAACTCCACCTTCAGGAATCGGTGAGCCTCATTCCAGTCCACCTGCAGCAACCGTGGCAGCCAACAGGAGGCTCAGGTCATTGTGGGGGAGACGGCGGCTTCACCACAGTGGCTCCCCCATGCAGCTCCCTCAGGAACTCCCATTGTCTGCTAGGAAGTTACCCACGTGGGTGTCCGGTGGCTTTCCGAACCCGCAAGGGGAACTCCACCTTCAGGAATCGGTGAGCCTCATTCCAGTCCACCTGCAGCAACCGTGGCAGCCAACAGGAGGCTCAGGTCATTGTGGGGGAGACGGCGGCTTCACCACAGTGGCTCCCCCATGCAGCTCCCTCAGGAACTCCCATTGTCTGCTAGGAAGTTACCCACGTGGGTGTCCGGTGGCTTAGGCGGGGGCA